CAGGCAGCTTTCCAGCCACTCTTCCCCAAGCCTGTAGCGCTGCATGGGGTTGTTGTGGTGGAAGTGCAGGACCCAGCACTTGGCCTTGTTGAATCTCATCCAGTTGGCCTCAGCCCATCGATCCAGCCTGTCCAGGTCCCTCCGCAGAGCCTTCCTACCCTCGAGCAGATCAACACTGCCGGCCAACTTGGTGTCATCTGCAAACTTACTGAGAGTGCACTCGATCCCCTCATCCAGATCATTGATAAAGATATTGAACAAGACCGGCCCCAATACTGAGCCCTGGGGAACACCGCTCGTGACCGGCCGCCAATTGGATTTAACTCCATTCACCACAACTCTCTGGGCCTCCAGAGAGCTGCACTACCTTCTACACTATCAACTAGCAGACCGGGGCAGAAAGCAGGGGTGGGGGGGGAAGGCTGAACTGCCCTTTTTACTTTCGTCTTTCCTTTATGGCTTCAATAAGCCAAATGAGCGTCAGGACAGTATTTACTCATCATGAAGGGCATATGTTATCTAACCACGTAAGACACAGCTGACATTCAGTGGTATTTGCAATAAATAACACATTTTTCCCTAAGCTGCAGAGTGTAAGAAAAACATAGAAAACAATGATTTTAACTGAACAGCTTGACCAGTAAGCATTACTTCAACGTTTAAATTTTATGAGTGACATAAAACCCATGGTTTGCAAACATGAGTAGTTTACTAGTCAACCATCCTTCTTTATTTCACTCAATGCCTACTTGAACACACGTATTTCTTAATTTTGTGGACAGCTTAAGGTTTTACTCTGGAAGATGAATTATCTGAGTCTTACTTAATCCCAAAAGGAGGAAGTCTATAAAATGGTGTATTTTTTGAAAGCAGATAGCAAAAGTTTTTGTATCTCAGAATATTTTGCAAATTGACATGTCTTAGAATATTTGACTGGAAAATATATTTTCTCTGTAAAATTGTCATTTTGAGGATTACAATTAATCTTTAAAGTTACAATCCTGGAAATTACAGACTTCGTGAAATCAACGTCTTCATTCTTCTATCAAAGTTACAAAACCCTATTATTATTATATTTAAATTTTAATCTTTGACAAGCCTGAGTAAATGTTAGGCACAGTACCAAATTCAGTTCAGCAACAGAGATAAAAGCCAAGAGTCTAAGTTGTTCAACCCAGCAACCACTGTTTAATACTTAAATACTAGAGTTTAATTTTGACCTTCAGCAGTCTCACTGTCTGGGAGTACAACTCTGAAGAGGAGGATCATCATGAGATGGTCACCTTCAGATTAGGGAGATGAGGACTACATGCTTTCCTAGTTGGACATGAAACTTTAATGCCAGCACTAAGATGGCTGTGAAGATGGAGGCACAAGGGGGACCAGGGTAACCATGACATATCAAATAGGGCATACAGAAGAGATGGTAAAAACAATTACAATGAGTTCTATTTTCACTAGTAAGTATCAAAAATAAGGGGCTTTTTAAGAAAGAAAACATTGGCTTTTAAAACTGTAGTTTCGTTTAAAATTGAAGCAAAAGGAAAACAAAAAATTATGCAGCTGGAACCTCATAGTTACATGCAGTGACTTTAATGAGGTCATTTAAACCGAAAAATTAATCTAAAATTACAAGGCATATGAAATCCATGTTACAGTGCATATAGTCATAGGCCAACATATGGGTTATTTTGCTTTGACCATGACATTCACCGTCAAAGCCACACTGTTATGCACGACTCAAATTTAATGAACATGAAACTTTCCAAGAATACCAATTAACTCCAGGGAGGTAGCTTTTCCCAGCTTTGCCAACACAGCAGTCTACTGTTACTGCCTTCTTATTTAGCAAGCTTTTATGAAATTTCTAAAATGAAGCACCGTACCCAGTGCAGAGCCACACACCTGGAATCAATTTACATTAAAAACAAGTTCAGAAAAATTCTAGTAGGTCTTTGGCATATGTAGCAATCAACAACACTCGGACATCATTTTGCCTGCAGCACATGCACAGCTCCAAGAATTGAGACAGTTATAAAGATTACATAAGTATAATGGCAAGCATCTCCTCCTTAGCACAAGCATGTTAAACCCGCAAAATATTCTTACAAATAAAGAATCAGATTTCCTTATTATGCAGGCTCCTTTGTATCACTCTGTCTGAAATGAACAGCTGTTCTACCAAATAGAGTACCACTGAACAGACTCTTACCATTTTGACTGGGTTCTCCTTGCTCTGATCCTTTTCTCAGTGGTAGAGCTGCCTCACCTGGCACTCTAGGACTTTCCACATACTTGGGCTTCCTCATCGGACCTGCAATGGGAATGAGATGAGTGTATCTAATTTTTTTCCAGATGGACCGCAAATTTCATATGTACAGTGTCTATTCTCCACGATGCAACAGAAGTAGAGGAACTATTTCTTACATACACAGCTGCTACCGTAAAGACTAGTGAGCTGCTGCACTTCCACTCTTGTGAGAAAGAAACACTCTTTGGGCTTTTTGGAATGCAAAGCCTGCTGGAAAACAAAACCAATCTGCTTGCTGTGACAAACCTGAAAAAGTTTCCTGTATATGTCAAGTTTCAATGGGCCTCCTCGGTTCAGAGATTTTATTCTCGATTACAACAGGAAGCTAATTTTGTTATCAGCATCTTTAAAGCTAGGAGAAAAAGACTACAGGCAGACAACTTGCAACATCAACATGCTAAATAATTCAAACCCAAGAAGCTTTATATTACAGCGTACTTTCTCTAAATACTGACACATGCCCTGATCATAAGGAATGGTGAAGATGAGTTCAAAAAACAAAAGAAAACATTAGTGGCTACTAATGGTTTCTGGTTTCATTAAACAGCAGCATTCCCAGTTCACATACATATTAAGTTCAAACATACCACCTTCAGTATTAAGAACTGTGTATTCACACACACACACGCGCGCATACTTTTCAAAAATTAAACTGATTCACCCTTTACTCTCACTTTTAGCTTCATGCTTTGGTTTCAGGCTGTTTACAATTCTATACTTTGCTAAATATGGTTTAGTAGCAACCACAGGAAATGTTAACTACACAACTTATCTAACAGAAGGGGAATGATGCTGCCCTCTAAAGGTTTACCAGAAAAAGTATACTGGTACTACTGAATCAACAAACATCTGCTTGCACTACAAACACAGGGTGAAATTCTGATCTTAATTCAGAAACTGATAGTACTGGCAGGTAAACTGCTACACTGATGCACAGTCTATCACAGAACTGAAACTCCACCATATATTTATCCACATCTGAAAAATATGTCAACAGAATTTTGTATCAGTAAAGGCATTTGCAACACTAAGAGTTTTGGAAAAGCATGAACAGGGAAACTTGCAAAATTACACACTGGAAAGCTAAGATATATAAATGGCATGGGGAATGGAAACATCATCATCAGTGGTACTGAAAACTCAAACCCGAATTTCTGTGCTAAATTTTCATTATGACAATCCCAATTTCTTATAATGTGTGTAACAAAGCCATTTGAAAATTTCAAAGTTTTAGTGAGCTTGAGGTGTGGTAGGTGATTCCAATGTTTCATCCAGAACCACCTAAATATTAGCTGGCAGTCCCTAGAAACACAGTCAGTTGCTGGGCTTAACAAAATACTAAAACAGAGGTATTTCTGTGTATTTCCCCAGCTTTGGCAATAGACAGTGATTTTTCCCTTCTTATTTTCCCTCTTGTTATATTACAGAGCTACAATCTCAAGTTCTCTCTAACATGTAACATCATTGTAACAGTAGGAAAGGAAGTTTCCTCACTTGAAAATATGTTCGACATGCTCCAGCCAAATGATTTTTAAATACGTACGTTAGGCCACAGTGACAAAACACAAGAGAAAACCATTCTACTGGCAGCATTCCATTTTTGCATCTTGCATGTTTGTATATTACCCTTATTATTTTATTCATAATAATAATAAAATCCATCTCAAAAGCAAGCATGCAGAACTTGGCATATTTCATGAAGAACATTTCTTCACATTGTGATATTCCACAGAATCTCGAACTTACAGTTACATGGTCACGTTTGTTTGTTTTTTTAAAATCAAACAACCTCAGAGCTGAATCCTGTCAAATTCAAATAGGAGAAGCTGAAATGCTGGAACTCAACTCAAATACTGTATTATATCTACATTCTTAAGTGCTAGATTACATTATATATCCTGGGAAAGAAGAAAACGCAACCACAAAATGGCAGCAATGTTCTATTTTGGGAACTCCAAAAAGTGAATGTTTTTCACCTCTGACCAATTCAGTAACAAAGGTATAACAACAAACATGCACCTCTAATGAACACTCCACAGGTTTATGAAAAAGGCTGTGATGAATGCAGACGTAGTACTAAAGATCAGAGAACCAGACCAGAAAGAAGTTAATAACTGTCTTTAAGCTATTCAAATTCTTTAACCCAGAATTGTTTGAAAAGATTTGGTCACTGGAACAGGCTCCCCCCCGGGAAGTGGTCACGGCACCAAGCCTGTCAAGAGTTCAAGGAGTGTCTGGACGATGCTCTTAGTCATATGGTTTAGTTATAGGTAGTCCTGCGAGGAGCAGGGAGTTGGACTCAGTGATCCTTATGGGTCCTTTCCAACTCGAGATATTCTATGATTCTAAGAAGGCAGAAAAGGTGTTGGAGCCTCATACTGAACAATAAAAAGGAGAAAAACCCTTGAATACAGGTGTTTACTAAGTGAGCCCCATTTGTCCCCATCTAACCAAAAGAAGCCAGAGTAGTACAAAAATATTCATGTAAGTGTAACTAAACAGCATTTAAGCACTACAAAAGGAATCGACAGTTTGAAATACTGCCTGGCTGGAGAGGAAGGACTGGCTGTCAGGACTGCCATGCTCTCTGGTGAAGCTCTTCCAGATCCTGGAATGAACAGTTTCCCCACAAACTTTCCTTCCACCCTACCCATTCCAAACTGTCCTTACAGGAACCCAGGTCCCAGCCCAAGGCGCTCTGTCACAGCTGTACTTCCTCACATATCAGTGCAACTCGATTCCCCAGCCAGGCTCAGTTTCTCTTACTTCCCTACTCTGCAAGGAAGCTCTTCTCCCCTTGCTTTCCTACTGTATCCCTCTCTCGCTTTCCCAGTACATTTCACTCTACAGTTTAAGATCAGTGGAAAAGACACCAGACCTTCTCACAGCAGGGCTTTGGTCTTCATCAGGAGCATCTAAATAGCACTAAAATTCTTAAGCACTAACAATTATCAACACTATGCTATACATGCCTTGTTTCCCAGATCCTTCATCTGCTCAAATGCATTACAGTTTCCAAGTTACGTATTTTGTTTATAACCAGAATTAAAACTACTTTCAGAAGTCTTTTTTAAAAGCACTTACCAAATAGAAAGTCTAAGGCTACAGTGACTTCATCTTCAAGTCATGCCAATCTTTGGCTTTCAAAAAACATTCCTTTTAGATTCTTTATTTAATTAAACTTATGATAGACTTGAAATCAAAACAAAATCCCAAGATGTCAGCTAAGTGTCTTCCCTGGTTTGACTGATTAAGTTTGCACTGACATGCTTTCAGCCAGCTGAAGCTCTAGAATCAAGATGTGTTTCCAAGCTTTACCTTTCATCAGTAATAAGCCCATACTGAAAGCAGGTGATAAATTCAAGTACTAATGTATTTCTTACATCTCTCAGTAATAAACTACTGACAAGGCTACCTGATTTTTTTTCCTTTTTTTACAAACAGAAAACAATCAATAAAACAACACACAGTACGCAAAACCATTAAGCCTTTTAAGAAGCAGACCTACAACGCTGCTGCAGGCCGTGGATTTTATTATTACGAAACTTTGCAATTTTCAAGTCGTTTCACTTCCTGACTCTGCCCGTTGCAGAACTAGGGACTGGGTGATGGAAGGCCTTTTGCAAACAGTTTAACTTACGGGTAATGAGAAGTGGAACAGCAGCAGGCCAGGAAATGCTGCCATCCAGGATTTGAGTCCCAGTTACTTCTGTGTCCACACTGTAACTGCGGAGTGCCAGAACTCTGGATCTGAGCACTGACCAGTGCCTCCAAAGAAGGCCAGCACTCAAGCCAGGAAGCTCTAAGAAAGCTAGAAGCACGTGAACCAAGGGCAGTTCACAATACATCTTTGGAGTAACAGCTAGCTATGCTCCATGTCCCATCCCCTCCTCTAAACTGAACTGCCTGTTCATCAGCTGAATGAATTCAGTCCTTCCTTCCCTCAGGATGTCTTGGATCAGCAACGCTTCCATGAAGAAAGCAGCTGTGCTCAGTCACCCACTGCTGACGGTGTCTATTTTTCTCTGCCCTTGGAAGCCTGTTCACTGAAGGAAGACAGGATATTTTACAGGGTCCTATGAAGGAACAGTACAGTGACGTTTATGTAGTGCATCTGTAAAATAAGGAAAATATCCCACAAGTTCAAAGTTTTATCATACTGTTTTCTGCACTCTGAGTATCATTAGTAAAGATGACAAAATCGTGGGCATAGTTTTTAAACTTCCCTGACTTAATCACTATTATCACAGCAGTATACTGATACCTGGTTAGAGAATCACTGACCCAGCACAAAACAGATGTTAATGAATCCTATGTCCTAACGGTTCATAATCCCACACAGTGATTTTACAGGCCTATGATATGCCCATTTTTAACCAACGTATCTTCATGAGTTTTGCCTGCTACAATCTTAAAGGAATCTTTAAAGAGCAATGTTTTTGATGGAAGCACTTAATATTCATAACGTAGCTTACACAGATTTCACATAAAACTCAAACTGATATTAAAAGGGTTTTAAATTAGTTTGTAGCTTTTTCAATCCCTTAAAGCTTATAGAATAACACATTAGAAATGCATGATTTCTCAGTCAAACAGTATCTAAAAAGAAAGGCATGAAAAAAGATTTCAGATAAGTATTCTTTTATACTATAATATCATGAATAAAGCGCCAGATTGAAAAGCTGGTTTTACAAATATAACGTCATCAGTTAAAAGATTTATATAACAAGCTCAGTTCTCTCATTTCCTAAGGAAACCAAGCTAAAAAAAAAAACACATAGAAAGGGGCTTAGTTATCAAGCTATTAAGCAAGATCCTTCCTTCCCACAAAAGTTCACAAACTTACCAGGTAGAAGCCTAAGTCTCATGACATGGAAGAGTTCCAGTAGATAAAACTAAAAGGCTATTGTAAAAGTAATTTTTCACTGTTTCTGAAGCCAACATTTGTCAATCATGACCATGACTCCGTGTCTACAGCTACTTATTCTTTTAGTATACATGGA